AGCACTATGGGGAAAATGGTTACCACACAGGGCTCCATCCCCGACCCTCACCTTTTCTAAACAGTAACAGAGCTTAGAACAACCATATTATCCAGACATAGACTACACGATAATCCAGTGAAGAAACTCAAAACATAGAAAAGCTCTCAACCCACTCCCAGAAGTCTTGTCATTGGCGCCCATCCTCTGCTCTTGTTGAAGAAGCCATTTGCAACATCAACCAACAACACCGCCACGTCGCGCAGCTTCTGTTGCCCTTCTTTTCTCTGTAAGCCAGCCCAGTACGACATCTAGTAAGCTATTTGAAAAAACAGCACACTCGGATCATGCGGGTAAAATGTGATGAAAAGTGGCAGTGTTTCTGGATTTAGCTAAAAGAAACTGAAAAGGTAAAAATAAAAGTTGCAGTTTCTGTGATCATTCTGAAACTGTAGAGCATCTTTTTTGCACTTGTGTGGTAGCCAAGTTTGTGTGGAGGGTTGTTAGGAATGTCACTGGTATTTATGATATTCCTTGCAAAATTGAAGAGTTCAGCAGTTGGATAGAGATGTTTCCTAAGAAGATGAGACAAACAGTAGCAGTGGGTGTAGCGGCGGTATTCTGGTTTTTATGGAAAGCCAGCTCCCGTGGGCATGTCCCAAGCCAACCCCTCTTGTTCAATCTGCAGTACTTCCTGTCACGGCGAAGCAAGAGGCCCCAGTGCATAGCACGAGCGTGCGAGAGCCTTCCCGTAACCCCACTGTTGCTATGATTCAGACCCATCGTCGGTTGCTGGAGTTGTGTTCTGCGAGAGCATTTTTCTTCAACTTGAAATCCCAGCAATTTTGGTGCACAGGAACTTCAGATGATTTTTGCTCAAGCTGAAGTGGGTGGCCAAGTTGTGACTCACCCAACCCAACAAATACTGAAAGAAAAGGTGCAAGACCCAAGTACGGAAAGAAGCATGAAGGATGAACAAGGAACAAGGAGTAAAACATCATTTCACGGAGTCTCAAGTGAGAACAAACAATCAGGTTGCGTGACACACCCAACAACCTTGACCCTTTTTAACCCAACTTGGCACGGCGACGAACAGCAGGCCCTTCCCCTCCACAACAGCACCAGCAATGTGTGTGTATCTTGTACATCATATAGAAACATCCTTTGTTGGGTAAAACAAGACAAAGCGACGCTATTGCCCTAGCGACAGAGGGACCGGACCGACTCTTGTGTAGTATCTAGCTTACAGTTACAATATCACCTCACAACAATACACGAGACGTCTTGGGTGCTGGATGTTCCTCTTCTGTCCAGTCGTCTCTCTTGGTGGGCACACAAATTATTGTCGACGGAGTACACTTGACATTCATAGTATGGTACAAGAGCAGCGAGTGGTCTTAGGCAACTTGTTCGTCTTCTTGTCTGACACAAACAAGTTAACATAATTCAGCAAAATGAACGAGACAATAAATTTAACATAATTCAACATAAATTTAACCAACGTGGGCGACTGCGGCGGGAGCAAAAATTAAAATGGGATATTTTTTGCTCCCGCCGCGGTCGCCCACGTTGGTTAAATTTATGGTCAAACTTAAATCTCGAAAAGCGCGGGCGCACTACATTATGGAATGGAGGGAGTATAACATTGCATCCAACAGCGTCCTATCTGTTTGAAGAAGCAGAATATTACGTGCTGTAACGAGACATGCATTTCAATGTAATTTCCGCTAATTTCTGCTGTACTGGTCAAGTGGTTATTAGAGGGGATTAGACAGAAACCAAATCTGTGATCTGGCATTGTCGGGAAAGACAAGAATTTCATCTACGAATTACGGGACAGACAACAGGCTCACCAAACTGATTTCTCATGGACAGAAGCGCAGAGCTCTGACTTTCATGTCAACATTTTCATATTTCATCCACAATCATTTTTTTCTTCAGAGAATCTAATGAACATTATTTTTCCGCGTGCAGATTCCACACATATGATGGCACATTAGTGATAGAATGAATGGTAGAAAGGAAACAAATGACTGACATGCATCCATTGCAATTTTAAGACACAACTTGGATGGTGAAACAATGTTAATCAGTCTAAGTCAGACACATGGGAAGATTCAGCAAGTCATAAGCAATGCTTTACACAAATATTACAAAGTTGCAGCTTACCTGGTTTTGACTTTGCGGATGATGGCTGGACAACGACATGCATTGTTATAACAGTGCTGGGAAGATCACCAAAAGGTGCTCTGCACTGTGCAATATTCTTGTCATTTTCTAGAATTTTGCCTCCACTTATCAGTTTCACATCATTAGCACTCTTTGGGACAATTGTTTTATCTACAAGCAGAATCATTACAGAATTAGAAATATTACACAAGCAGCGGAGGAGATATAACTATTCTTGGGGAAAAAAATTCAGAAATGCAGTACGAAAGTACATATGCAGCAAACTACCTAAAACCTTGGCAAAAATGCTACCCATACATCTTAAAATGCAGGATTTTAGGAATTTTATTACATCAAGTTGAACAAAAATATTAACAGCAGCTAAATACAATTAGAACAGTTATCTTTACTGAAGCAATCACGACATAATAAGAAGACAAATCACGGCATGTGCCTTGTGTGCAGGTAGGGTAGAAAGATGTATTGGTAATAGGGAAGCCAAGGCAGGATAAATTTTAAGGCAATGCTATGCAGAAGCGGTAAAGCTGTTGCCTTGTGACCATGAGGTCACGGGTTCGAGTCCTGGAAAGAGCCTCTTGCAGAAATGTAGGGAAAGGCTGCGTACAAAAGACCCAAAGTGGTCGGACCCTTCCCCGAACCCTGCACAAGCAGGAGCTTCGTGCACCGGGCTGCCCAATGCTATGCAGAAGTTAAGTTCGGATCAACAAGAATGTTCCATAATATCAGATCCTAAGCAAAGTTCCTGTCCCATTTGACAATATTGCCTTTTGAGAGAATTGCAAGTTAGATGTCTTAAAATCATAACGATCATTAGATTCATTGATCCACAATAACAGGGAGTACAAGCACACAAGACAGCAGAACTAAGCGATAAACAAATGGAAATATAAAAACAATATGGCAAAACGTAAGGCATATGCCATTTAACACAGCACAAATGTATGAACCCAGTTTTCACTCCCTACCAACAAAATAGATATGACATTCTTTTTAATATCCCCGTGGATGGAATTAGAATGTGATTAACACATGCTGGCTGCTGACAATGAAATACACAAGCTCAGATGAACGTTATGAGCTTCTCCAGTGTTTGTGGCTCCTAGAGCATCTTCCTGTTGGGCTCTCTGTGGTCTACTTCACAGCCTTCCTCTTTGGCTTACTATAGAGGCATAGAGTAATATTTTGAGCATCACACACTCACTATTGAACAATTTAAAAGATATCCTAAAGTGGAGTGCTGCGGTGCCCATTCAAGGAATTCCTGGAAATAGTTGCGCATTTGTTGGAAATCAGAGACATCCTACACATCATGTGTTGTCAACGTCCCACTTATCAAAACGGGCTATGGTAAAGCACATTAACATGTCTGCCTACCACTGGCGGAGCTTCTTGGAGGCCAAAGGGGGTTGTGACCCCCCCTTCCAAAAGTGCAAAAAAAATTGACTATTAAACATTTTTGTGCATTTCATCAGTGAAGTATATTGACTATAGAGCACCAAATCAATTTACCGGGCAGATATTCTACGTACAAAGCTAGCTACCCAAAGCAGCTTGATTGATATTTGTACTTGCAGCTCCTCGTACATAAAGCTTTATTCTAGATCGCCTTTTTTTAAATGATCGCTTCTCTCTGGAAGAAACTCTCCTCAACTTGCAACAGTGAAAATAAAAAACATATCGGAAGTCTTACTTTGTCTCTCATTTTTCCCGGTACAACATCATCTATATCCCGTTTTGATTTCACCTCATCTCTACATGCATGGCGATTTGATTTTCTAATCATCCTCCTAATTCTCAGTTTTATTTCTCCCTTTCACAGCTTGGACTGTCAACCGCCGCCCGGCCGCCACACCAGCTGCTGCATCTGCGCATGGAACATCTTGTGCTGCTGCGCGCCACCGCCAAAATGGCCAGCCGACGACCGCAAATGAGCCAAACTGCCAAAGGATGCAAGGAGCAAGATATATTCGATTGATATGTAATTTTGTGTGAGTTGGTCTTGATTTCAAGCACATTTTGCTTTTGGTTAAAATTTTGGCCCCCTGTTAATTGCGTGTCACGCTCCACCACTGCTGCCTACATTATAGCCCCAAGCATGGCTCCTCCGCTGTTCGCTTAGATACCAAAGACCATCCTGGATTATTACCGTAAAAGAAGACGTCTCCTATACACATCTGATACCTCTCTAATTTAAGCTGTACTTTAGAATATTAACGAGACCTAGCACTTGCTAGTTATAGAAGCACACATATTTTCCCAAAATCAGACAAGCAACAAATCTTGCAGGCACCAAACAAGCAAATATAAAGAAGCATGAAGCTTGCTCATCACCCCTTATTCCCGTCTACTGTCGTCACGCAGAGGGAACAAACAAGCATGGGTTCCTTTACAAATTTAGTGGTGCAGATGGCACAAGCACAAACTAGAGCTTGCACAGACACCACACCACAAGAATCGCATAACATCGTGCGAGAATCAAGAGCTCAAGAGATGGAATCTTTAGGACCTTTGGGCCAATCGGCAACGACGCGGTCCTTGAGTGCGGCGACGGTGGTAGCAGCGGCGTTGCAGCGGATGGGGCCGATGTCAGAGCCGTCGAAGAGCCGGAACTTCACCTCTACCTCCTCCTCCTCCGCTCCCGCCCCTGCATCCGCTCTCTCTTCCTCTCTCGTTCCCTCCACCTTGGTCTCCTCCCCCTGGGCCATTTCTTGGCCTCCCACCAAGACCTCGAATACTCCCGGGACCCCGCGGGGAATCTGAGCTGGGCTCGGCTGCTCCAATCAAGAACTTGCGAGCTCGGTGGGGGTAGAGACGGGAGGGATTCGGAGCTTGGTTTAGGGTTTGGTGGGAGGCAACGAGGGTAGGAGAGGAGGAGCAGGAGAGAAGAGGAGACGCTTTGCAACTGCAAAGGAAAGGTAGGAGAAAATTCTCTTCTCCTTTTCTCCCGTGAGATTGCTGATTATTTCGGACTTGGTCTTTTTCTCCTGTCCTTTTTAATTTTTTACAATTTCCTGTATTTTTTATGATGTTTCTTTTTCAGTTTTGCTAAAGAGTGCCATAGGTATTGCACATCTAAGTTAAAAAAATGTTTTACATTTTAGGACGGAGGGAATATGTCATTAATTTTACATAATTCTTTTCTCATATCTAGAACCATGCTTATTGTTACTTCGAGAAACAATATAGCACCACCACACACCCACATATTGTCCACTTCGCTGAGTGCATAGGGTGTGCGTATACTTCTATATCGTTGATTTGACCTAAATATGTCGCTTAATCAAATTGTTGGTTTAGAGGTATGCATACACATGACAGAAGAAAACATTGACAGAACCTAAACCGTCAGATCTTAATGTAGGGGGTCATAATCTAGATGTCTTGAAATGAGAGTAACAGAGATACGATAAATTTACTCAAGTTTGAGCTTTTCGAGGAAATAATAACCTACGTCGTGTTTGTGTTTACTACATTGGAGTAAGTATAAAGTCCTAAGTATCTACCAAGTGATTTCTTATGTTTTCTACAAGTCAGGGCCCTCGGTGTATACAGGTACGGGGGGTTATAGGGTATTAGGTCCTAGTTGGCTACGTACAAGGAGGCAGAGTCCTCGCAGATCATGTATGAAAAGTCTTATGGAACCTTCTCATTATATGTCATGGGCTGCCCGATATGATCCATGTCGAAATCAACAAGGGGATCTCATATCCCGTCCACCAAGTCAGGAGTCGACATGTTGAGAGGCCCATTAAGGCATGTACAATTATGCTATCATAGGAGTGCCACGTAGGATAATGGCTGAGGTGAGAGAGAGAGACCATATGAAAAGGTTTGCCTATTCTTGTTTAAGAGATTATCTCTTGGCAACAATTGTCTCTCCACGTATTTAGAGATATCTAGTTATTGAAGACAAGACTAGGAATAACCCATTGTGCATCATTTTTTATTGTCTCATCTAGATTAGATCGAGGGACATAAGATAAGGCAGTCTTATTTAGGACAGTAAAACTGAGCCTCTTTCCAGCCCTCTCGCGCACTCAACGTATCTGACCATTCGATTGAGCATCCACACATTTTTGGTCATTGGATTTCTCTGTAATAGCTAGCTTCACGTGAGTGGGCCGACTGTCCAAAAAGGGCAACTACTCCGTGGAAAAAACGAACATCTGTGATTGATTGGCCCATTTGCACAAAGCAGACGGCCTGTCTAGCGTCGGCACAACGAAGTCCATCGATAAGGAAGTTAATGAAGAAAAAAGGGGGCTAAGTCGTTCCTCTCGTGGCGGTGAAGGCTCAGTTCTTGCAGGCATCAAAGGGGACTAGTGGATGACTCGCGCCATGCTGCGCCATTTTTCATAGATGGAGTGTATTTTTCATGCTTACGTTGTAGATATTTCACACTATTTGTTTGTTTGTTGGGATATTTGACGTGTTTCTTCATTTTTCACTAGGCAACATATCGATACCTTGTCGGCGAGGTCGGGGAGCCCACCGAGCTTGCCGTCGCTGCTGTCACGCGAGTCCCTGCCTCCTCCACTATCGCTCTCCCAAAACTTACTAATGAACATGGCCAGATCCATCTCGCTCTCGTGGTGTCTCCCGAGCCCATCTCCGCCTCCACGTGTCCGCGGCCAAAGCTCGCCCACCCTCGTTGAAGCAGGGCCCTCCTCCGTTGCGCCACACAGCGCCCGGCCATGGCAGGGAACCAAACTACTTGGCCACAAGAATCATGCCTTGAGTCCCTCCCGCCGAGGAATCGGGTCGTGTGGCAGCTCGAACAAATGATTCCCTGTCTAAACTCGAACGCGAACCGACCAAATCCAGTTGGAATGAGAAGGGAAGAGACCCTTGAATCCAAACCTCATGATGGTCGAGCATGTGAATTCGAAGTTGATTAAAGGGATAATGGGGATATAGCTGCTCGATCAGCATCAACCTCCCTCCAGATCAAAGATTAGCAATAGAGCAACAGAGGATTAGCAACAGAGCAACAACAATAACGCAGAGGATACTGGAGCAAGCGATAGCGAGCGGCGCCGGTGTAAATAAAGAAAGCAGAGGAGAGACCAACCTTGAATTTTGCTTTTGAGGCGGTGCGTGAGGAAATCAGGAAGGACGTTGCCGCTTTGCGATTTGCCTCCTACTTCCTCCGGTCCTTTTTAATCTGCATATAAGTTTTGTCCGAAGTTAAAGTATCTCTGCTTTGACCAAACTTATAGAAGAAAGTATTAACATTCATAATACCAAATCAATATGGTAAAATTAATTATGAAATGTAGTTTCATAGTATGAATATTTGGTACCGTAGATTTTGATATTTTCTAATCTAATTCTAGTCAAACTTTGTAGAATTTGACTTGATACAAATCTAATACGTAAAGTAAAAAAGACCGGAGGAGTACGCATGTATTGGTGAAATTTTCTAAGAAGCGACGCGAAGCAAATGTTTGACCAGCTCAGAACCCATTGACCATAGGGGTCCACCTTGTAAAAAAACGCTCGAGCCTAGAGCAACATACCGATATCTTGTCGGCGAGGTCGGGGAGCCCACCAAGCTTGCCACCACTGCTGTCGCGTGAGTCCCTGCCTCCTCCACTGTCGCTCTCCAAAAACTTACTGATGAACTAAAGGAAATATGCCCTAGAGGCAATAATACATTTGTTATTTTATATTTCCTTATTCATGATAAAGGTTTATTATTCATGCTAGAATTGTATTGATTGGAAACCTAAATACATGTGTGAATACATAAACAAATACCATGTCCCTAGTGAGCCTCTAGTAGTCTAGCTCGTTGATCAAAGATGGTTAAGGTGCCCTAACCATAGACATGTGTTGTCATTTGATAATGGGATCACATCATTAGGAGAATGATGCGATGGACAAGACCCATCTGTTAGCTTAGCATAATGATCGTTCAGTTTTATTGCTATTGCTTTCTTCATGTCAAATACATATTCCTTTGACTATGAGATTATGCAACTCCCGGGTACCGGAGGAATGCCTTGTGTGCTATCAAATGTCATAACGTAACTGGGTGATTATAAAGATGCTATACAGGTATCTCCGAAGATGTTTGTTGAGTTGGCATAGATCAAGATTAGGATTTGTCACTCCGAGTATCGGAGAGGTATCTCTGGCCCCTCTCAGTAATACACATCATAAGTTTGCAAGAAAATGACTAAGGAGTTAGTCACGAGGTGATGTATTACGGAACGAGTAAAGAGACTTGCCGGTAACGAGATTGAACTAGGTATGAAGATACCAACGATCGAATCTCGGGCAAGTAACATACCAATGGACAAAGGGAAGTACATATGTTGTCATAACAGTTCGACCGATAAAGATCTTCATAGAATATGTAGGATCCAATATGGGCATCCAGGTTCCACTATTGATTGTTGACCGGAGAGGTGTCTCGGTCATGTCTACACAGTTCTCGAACCCGTAGCGTCTGCACGCTTAACGTTCGTTGATGATATAGTATTATATGAGTTATGTGATTTGGTGACCGAATGTTATTCGCAGTCCCAGATGAGATCACAGACATGACGAGGAGTCTCAAAATGGTCGAGAGGTGAAGATTGATATATAGGGCGATCGTATTCGGACATCGGAATTGTTCTGGAGGGTACCATGTACTTATCGGGTCACCGAAAAGGAGTTTCAGGCACCCCCGGCAAAGATATGGGCCTTATGGGCCAAGTGAGGGAACACACCAGCCCTGGTGCGCCCCTATAGAGGCCAGCCCTACGAGGAGGAGAATGAAAGAGGGGAGGGCAAGGAAAGTGTGGATTAGGATTGCTACTTCCTTCCCTCCCCCCTCTTTCCTTCCCCCTCGGTTATATATGGCAGGGGGCGCGCGGCTTGGGAGGGACTCCAAGTAGTATTCCTCCTACTTGGGCGCCTCCTATGGCTGCTCCTACCTCCCTCCCACCTATATATATGAGGAGGGGGCGCCTAGCACACAACAGACAATTGCCTAGTCGTGTGTGGCGCCCCCCTCCACCGTTTACCACCTCGGTCATATTTTCATAGTGCTTAGGCCAAGCCCTACGGAGATCACTTCACCATCACCGTCACCACGCTGTCGTGCTGACGGAACTCATCTACTACCTCGACATCTTGCTAGATCAAGAAGGCGAGGGACGTCACCGAGTTGAACATGTGCAGAACGTGGAGGTGTTGTACATTCGGTACTTGATCAGTTGAAGCACGAAGAAGTTCGACTACATCAACCGCTTTGTGAAACGCTTCCGCTTACGGTCTATGAGGGTACGTAGACACACTCCCCACCTCGTTGCTATGCATCTCCATGGATAGATCATTGCGTGTGCGTAGAATTATTTTTACCATGCAACATTTCCCAACAGTGGCATCATGAGCCAGGTCTATGCGTAGATGATATGCACGAGTAGAACACAAAGAGTTGTGGACGATGATAGTCATACTGCTTACCACCAACGTCTTATTATGATTCGGGTTATTGTTGGATGAAGCGGCCCGGACCAACCTTACATGTCCACACACATGAGACCGGTTCCACTGACCGACATGCAACTAGTTTTGCATAAAGGTGGCTGGCGGATGTTTGTTTCTCCTACTTTAGTTGAACCAAATTTGACTACAGCCGGTCCTTGAAGAAGGTTAAAAAAACAAACTTGACAAACCACCGTTGTGGTTTTTGCCGTAGGTAAGAACACTT